ACGAGGCATTCGTTGCATCCAGTGGGTACATAATTATGGATTATACTTTTTACGCGTTGCATTGCATCTTGCCACGTAAACATAAAACCATGTCTGCATTTGTGATCGGAGAAATGACAAACAACCAGCGCTACTCTACACTGCTCAAAACTCGCGTTTGAAACATCAGTGGCAAATTCTTTAAATATAAAAAACGTACTTACAGTCTGTGAGTCAGAACAGCCGGCATTGTAATCTACTCTCCCAGGATCAGGAAACAGTCCTCCATAAAATGTGCTGCACACATCTGAATATTTGGGTTGAAGTGTTCTGGAACAGTGTTGTAAATACAACTTAACCACTGATTTCTAGTCGTGTCCATTTTTGGAAGGCCAAACAAAGTAGTTTCGCTTTCACAACGAAACACAGCGTCACACACAGCGGCCTAGAGTGAGCAGAGGCCAGGGGATAAAATGAGGAATGGCCGGAGGGCTAGAGTGAGCAGAGGCGGCGGATAAAAAAGTAACTAAGTCATGCAATTAGTAACTTATTTTATGGAGTAACACAATACTTGCATTACTTTTTAAACTTTCCCAAACACTTTATGTTATATACTCTATGTGTGTTTATGTATATATTTATATGTTGATCATGTATGAAAATTATGTGTTTATATTCCTATGAACGGTGTTGGGGGTAACGCATTACAAGTTATGTGAGTTACGTAATCAGATTACTTTTTTCAAGTAACTAGTAAAGTAACACATTACTTTTTAATTTACAACGCCAGTTACTTTTTTTTCCCATTTATTGATTGAAAGCTCTCCTGTCCCCTTGTTGAGAGAAATCAGGAGTAAGATGTTACTTTAGTTCTAGAATAAATGTAAACATGCATTAATTCATCATTCATTAGTTTTCCTCAAAATTAATAAAAACAGTTAAACGCAACGCAGAATATGACTCAAAGCTGCAATAATTAAATATGTTAAATATTACAAATATCCTTTATGTATTTAATCCCATTTTATTAACCAATTTGCTGCTGACCTTCAGTGATCCAATTCAACCATACTAATAAGCAAAAATTACACAAGATAAACTAACATTTCTTCTTTTTTCTTTATTGCTGAAGAGTGTTGAACTTTCTTTTTCTGTGTTCTGTACAGACGTGAATTTACATTTCCTTCAGCCTGAGGCTTTTGGTGTGAAAGGGCTTTTACATTTGACAAAAATAAAACTTTTTATATTAAAAGCAAACAAGCAAGCCCAGCCCTGATTTAAAAAGTAACGCAAACGTAACGTAACGCATTACTTTCAATAAAAAGTAACTAAGTAACGTAATTAGTTACTTTTTTTTAGGAAATAACACAATATTTTAATGCATTACTTTTAAAAGTAACTTTCCCCAACACTGCCTATGAATATTAACTATATATTCTGTTTATGTGAAATATAATAGCAATTTTGATTTTGAGGTTGAATGTGTCTCCAGATATGTTTTTGACAGGTACATGTATAGATGTATTAATACAATGTCTATGGGCAAAACTCATAAATACTGAGTTTGGGTCACATTTTATGCCTCTCTCACTCTCTCTGTCTTAATAATTTCCATTGTTAATTTTCATTTTATGTATTAAATATTTATTTATTTATGCGTGCATGCATGAAATGAGACCCAGACTCAGTTTTTATGAGTTTACTTTGCTCATAGACATTGTGTAACTGTAATTTTGTTTATAACAAAACAACAATTACACAACTGTAACTGAAAAAAATACATAAAAAAATATAGATGTGTGAATATATGTGTATTTTTTTTTCATTTATTATATTATTTTGTCATTTTGTGACCCAGACTCGTGTTTCACGAGTTTTTCCCAAAGACATTTTGTAACAGTAATTTTGTTGCATGTTTGTACAAATGTTTATTTCTTTCTTTATTTTATTACTTTTTAATACAAATAAGTGACAATGACTGTAAGAAACTTGCATCATCACTGCTGTTTGTGCTCGGATAGATCAAGGGTCCGATATTGGTGCTTGAAACGGTGAAGGCCAGTGTGGATCACAAGGGAGGAAAGAACAAACTTTCACTGAAGCAGGGAGAGAGCATTGAAATTGTGCGCAAAACAGAAAACCCAAAGGACTATTGGCTCGCCAGAAACCCTGAAGGCCAGTGTGAGTTACTCTGCCGCACTGTACTGGATTTACATCACAAAGAATTCAGTAATGCTTCACATACTGACAAGAGCTGCTAAACTGAACATGCTCTGTCTATATTAGGCTGAAGCTTCCTGTTTGTCTCTTCCTCTTTGGCTGGCCATGGTCAGCTGCTATTTTGACTTTGTGTTGGTGTGTTTTTCATGTAGATGGCTTTGTGAAGCCTGACACTCTAGATGTTGTGAGAAGCACATCGGATGGACAGGAGGTGTATGATGATGTGGGCGCAAATGATGACGTCAATAAGTAAGAGAGTAACTTATTAAAGATTATTAACACTATTCAGGTTAATTTGTTATTTGCAAAATTTATATTATATATTTTTTTCAGTCTACCAGATGGTAAGCCATTGCATTATACATTTCATAAATATGAATTAAATCACATTGCAATCATGTAGTGAGTGTCAAATGAAGGAAACATAAAGGAAATGACTTTTTTCCCCCCTTGTTCACGACTTTGTCACGTGACTACTTCCAGCAGCTGAATGTGATGCTGATATTTATGATTGTCCAGATGATCCACAAGCTGATTTCAGGTGATTCATGTTCAGAAGCATTTAATGCTGCACAAATACTGACATATAGGCGGAGCGTGTGTAAGGCTGGCCACGGAGTCTTGGTGCAAAAATGCCACTAAATTGGAAAAAAAAATGTCCCTGCACAAACAAATTAAATCTATTAAGTCTGTTGCTAACAAAGTGTAAATGAATAGAAAGTGTCGACTGCGGCTTTAAATTAAGATTTGCTCATGTTGCACCGTATTTCCTTTTAGGCGTTTTTTTCAGTGTTGCGCATTATAACCAATCACACACGATTCTGTTGAGCTTAGGAATGCAGTGGCCAATCAGAGGCGTTCAGATGAGTCATCGCTGAAACTCATCAGCTTTGTTGAACGCACGCACGTTATAACCATAAACAACAAAGCGCAGATGTACGTACAACGTAAGTAAGGGATTCATTTCGCAGTTTAGACAGCTTCAGTGATTATAACGATACTTTTGTTTTTTTGAGAGTGCGATAGATCAAAGTTAGTGATAATGTCATTTCTGTACATAATTTATTCGCCGTTTGAATAACCGTGGGAAGGAAACGTTATATAATTATCAATTTCTAATGTTTTAATTAAATTGTAATCACACTAAATGCAAATTCAGTCCCATTAAACATATTTGATTAGCCTACATGACACCCATGTCTGGTTCTTGCCTAAAAAGACAAGGTATGTGATGTTTGTAGTCAGGGCTGGACTGGGACAAAAAATTGGCCCTGGCATTTTTTGGTCCAGGCGGCCCATCACCACTTCGATATATATATATATATATATATATATACACTACCAGTCAAAAGTTTTTGAATAGTAAGATTTTTAATGTTTTTTAAAGAATTCTCTTCTGCTCACCAAGCCTGCATTTATTTGATCCAAAGTACAGCAAAAGCAGTAATATAGTGAAATATTTTTACTATTTAAAATAACTATTCTATTGGAATATATTTTAAAATGTAATTTATTCCTGCGATTTCAAAGCTATATTTTCAGCATCATTACTCCAGTCACATGATCCTTCAGAAATCATTCAAATATTCTGATTTGCTGCTCAAAAAAACATTTATTGTTATTATTATTATGTTGAAAAACAGCTGAGTAGAATTTTTCAGGTTTCTTTGATTAATAGAAAGTTCAGACGAACAGCATTTATCTGAAATATAATTATATATTTATAAATATAATTTTTTTTGTAACATTGTAAATGTATTTATCGTCACTTTTGATCAATTTAAAGCATCCTTGCTAAATAAAAGTATTAATTTCTATCATTTCCCCAAAAAATAAAATCAAAAATTAGGACACACACATCAGGATAGGTTAGACGTCTGCCTCCGCTGTGAGTCCCTATCAAGCACTTTACCAATTCAACTACTCTCTTCTTCTCCTCCTGCCTGGCTCTTTGGCCCGCATCACTCACCGCAGAGCAAGCCTGTTCTTGATAATGCTGCCGTGAAACGTGGGAAAAGCCGACGAGGAAGAAGTTGGGGTGATGCGATCTTTATATAAGCAGAGCAAAATACTTAATTGCTCCGTCTATGATTACGCTGTCAATACAGGAGACAAACCAATGGGCCACTGGCTGCTCGTTGTCCCTGCGTGATGGTTTTCGGCAAAAAAAACATTCTGTCGGCCCCTTAAATTATTAAATTCGATTACCAATCCAGCTCTGTTTGTAGTTAATAGATTTGACTGCTTTTAGCCTTACCCTGGAGTTGGTTCACCCTCCGCCTATGAATACTGATATATTCATCCAAACAATTATGACAGCAATTTTTGTTTATTATTAACTTCCATGCTCAGCACTTAAGGTGCAGCAAGATTTTTTATGTTTTTGAAAGAAGTCTCTTATGCTCGTTAAGGCTGCATTTATTTGATAGAATATACTGTATTTCTGAGCAAATAAATGCAGTCTTTGTTAATTAATTCATTTATATTTTATATAATATTGCGAAGTATTATTACAATTTAAAATAGCTGTATTTCTTTGAATTCATTTTCAAATATAATTGATTTCTGCTATGGAAATGCTGAATAAAAAGATATTCATTCAAATATAGTAAATTCACCAAATCATCTTTATTTTAATATTTATTTTTAAATGTAGGGGTTTTGAGCTTGTCATGTCTATTATTAAAATATTTACATGTCAAATTATATTATTTATCATTTATAATGTTTAAAAATGTATATATCTTTTTTAATTTTTTTATTTTATACATTTAAAAAAAAATTGTATAGTCATTTATATTATATTTATATAAAAAAGTATATTGTGTCATATTAAAATAAAAAACTAATCTGTGCAAATTCCACACTGATAGGTGACAGTCTAAAGTCGTAAAGTTTTTAAGTAAATGAGTATTATTCAAAGTGCCTTTTAAGCTGAAGCACATATATAGTGGATTTACTGCCATCTGCTGTAATATTACTGCTGTTTTACAGCTTTCCACCTCCACCTCCTCCAGACCCCACTGCATTTAATGGTGTGTGTGAGTAATACTGTATTCTAACTATACATTAATATAACATGTGAATTTTGTATAAGCACAGCCATATGAATAATCTAACAGCACTGGATTTATTTAACATTCAGAAATGCGTAAAATATACAATTATTGCTCGCATTTAATGGTTGAGTGTTGTAGCTTGGTGCTAGCAAAGCCAAGAGCATTGAATTGATTCTCAAAGAATCCATGAACAATGAATGCACAAAAACGTTTATCTTGAATGCAGTGTTGTTGCTTTGGATTAAGGTTATCTGCCATATTCATAAATGTAAATGCTCCACCCAGAGCCTTTTTTTGGTGTCTGTCCAACAGGTGCCACTGATGAGACATATGATGACATTATTCCAGCAGACTTCCCTCCTCCATCATCTCCTAAAAGGTTAGGGTTAGGTTATTTTTCTTTTTTTTCCATATTATTTTAGTAAGCAAATTTGTAAAGTGCCCTTTCCCATGCATCTTTAATATTTTGGCAAGTAACTTTTACATTTACATTACACAAGTCGGTAAGATTTTTTTAAAGTCCTTATGCTCACCAAAGCTGCATTTATTTGAAAATTACAGTAAAACAGTAATATTTTGAGATATTAATTATTATATTTTAATATTATTATATCTTTGTGGAAATTGATATTTTTTCAGTATTCTATAATGAATAGAAAGTTCAAAAGAACAGCATTTATTACAAATGTGGCAAAAAACAATACATTTTTACTGATCCCGAGCTTTTGAATGGTTGCTTAAATCACTTAAAAATATCTAAAATCATTGCATTATATAACAAAATATCAAAACAAGTCATTTATTGTATGTAAAAAAAAGTTTTGTAGCAATACATTTCTCAAAAAGAAGTTTAAAATGATCTTAAGATGAAAAAAAAACAAAAATAAACACTCATGTTTGACATCAAAATAAGGACATTAAAAAAAAAATCATATTTTCCATAAAGAAAATGAATCCTACAGTGGGACAATGCAGGATATTTACATCTTGATATTTTTTTCCCACAACAAGTAAGCACATTCACGGAGTTCTGGTTATTTAATGTGTTGTAACTTTTAATCAATTGAACGTGTCCTTGCTGAATAAAAGTATGTAATTTCTGAGCCTCGCTGACCTCAAACGTTTGAATGGTAGTGTATGTTAAGTCTCTCTTTTACCGCAGCTTTCGAAAGTTCAGCTCAACAAGACAGACAAACGAGATGGACCCGAAGAAAAAGAAAAAGTTTGAGAAGGAGGAGAAAGAGTTTAGGAAGAAGTTTAAAGTAAGATGCATTTGTTTGATGGATGGTAAGTGAATGACTCTGTATACTACTAACCCTCATTGCCTCTTCTTGCAGTATAATGCGGAAATCAAAGTGCTGTATCAAGCTACTGTTCTCCAGTCGCTGTCTATAAAGAAGTTTGGTAATAAAGACTTGCCAGTCAAACCTGGAGAAATCATTGATGTGATAGTTCATCCAGTAGATGACAAAATCATTGCCCTGAACAGCGAAGGAAAATGTGAGTTGATTTAGGACATAATACATGTCCTAGCAGAAGAGGAAACTCTTATTAATTATTCTCTCTCTCTTTCAGTTGGCTATGTGTCGACTGCTAATTTAGAGCAGTAAGTATAGTCTTCCTGTTCTATTTCTATTCTGGTTAGACGATGTTTTGCATGAAAACATTTCTTCACCCTAGCCAATAGATACAGGTTTTGCATTTCTAAGCACACTTGGCTTATTTGATATGCCTAAATGTTAGTGAATGTTGAGTAATTGTTGTGTAAAATTCAGCAATGCCGTTTTGATTTTATATCAATGGTCGATCAGTTTGACCTAGGGCTGGACAATAATTCAATATCAATGTATCGCGATATAATTTTTTTTCAATAACGGTGATATGATTTTTAAACACATTTTCGATATACATTACCAGTGTTTCCCATACATTGATTTATTTGTGGCGTTTGACTTCGTTGAATAAACATGAGCACTGCACGTTTCAAAATCAAAACACGTGCGGGTGTTTTATATGAATGTATCTCTGAAGGGAAAGAACTGTTTTCAGAAAAGTTTTCGATGGCATTTTCATTTGATCTGATAAAGAAGTGTTAATGAGCGGAGCTGATTTGATTACAGTCGTTACTGGAGAAACCGCTAGTTCTGCCGCTCTCAAAGCGCCTCCTGCTGGCAGACAAGCAGTTTGCATTTTCAATAATAAGCCTGTCTCCAGCAACATGTTTTTTTGTTGCTCCTCTTTTTTTTTCTGCAGCAACTCGGAGCACTTTTCATACTCTTTATACTGGCTAAAGGACATTTGTTTCAATCTATAAGAATAATCAGCCTAGACTACCAGTCAAAAGTTTTTGAACAGTAAGATCTTTAAATTTTTTTAATTTTTTTTTACGAATTCTCTTCTGCTCACCAAGCCTGTATTTATTTGTCAAAAGTACAGCAAAAACAATAAAATTTTGAAATATTTTTACTATTTAAGATAGCTACTTTCTATTTTAATATATTTTCAAATGTAATTTATTCCTGTGATCAAAGTTGAATTTTCAGCATCATTACTCCAGTCTTCAGTGTCACATGATCCAGAAATCATTCTAATATGCTGATTTGCTCCTTATCAATATTTAAAACAGTTGAGTACATTATTTTAGGATTCTTTGTTGAATAGAAAGATCCAAAGATCAGCATTTATCTGAAATAAAAAGCTTTTGTAACATTATACACTATTCCATTCAAAAGCTTGGAGTCAGTATGATTTCTTTTTCTTTTCTTTTTTTGGAAAGAAATGATAGTTCATTCTGACAGTCTTGGGAATATTAATGGGGTTTTACATCAGCAGAACGTTCTAAAAGTAGGTTTAAAATGTGCTGTATTGACTTGAAATGTACCCAGAAAACAAGTAGAAATAAAACTTCCATCATTTGAATGAATATCTGAAAGAAAAATAATAGTTTTATATACACACACACACACACACACATGTATATATATATATATCCATCATTTATGTAATAATTTCATGTTTTTAATTTTTACAATATTTCTGTTCATAAAATAATTTGTGTTTGTGTGTAGCCTATATAAAATTTTATTACAATGTAAAAAGTAACATTTTAACATATTACACGAAGAAGAGCTTCAAAGTTTGCATCGCTTGAAATAATACTCCGTGCATAACAGTAGGATCATGTGCAAAATAAATACAAAATAATCGGTAACAATAATTTAGAAAACTCTAAATTGTAGGATTTCAAGTCATTATAAAATACATAAAAAGTAGGTTTCACTTTCAAGTTCTTAGATTTGTGTATATAAAACCTTCCCAAAACGAGGATGTAATTAACTAGAAAACCATCTTTGTTACTGTTGTAATAAAATGTAATAAAACCGGAGGGGGAGTCAGCGCTCAAACCTCGCGAGAGGTTACGAGAGTTCCGGTGTTGTGATGATGAACGTCCCTGCCAACATGGCGGTCAGCATCCGCGGGCGTCCGACCCGGAGTGTACGGATGAGAGGCAAGTTAACGGCACCCACACCCCGGTTACCACGCGCAACCGGCGCTGTTCACAACCCTCTGCGTGTGTAGCATCCGTTGAAGCGCGGATAAGGCCTTACGGTGTCTTTATTGTGTCGTTTCTTGTGCTTGACAGGTCGGAATGACAGCGGGGAGGAGAATGTACCGCTGGATCTTACGCGGGGTGAGAGTCACCATAGAAATCATAACAAACAAATGCATAATGCTTCTCTGTAATAATAACCAAGAAATGATCAAATTCCCCTTAAATCCAAGAAATTGTCATTAGTGATTTCCATCTGCTTTATCTGGCCTGCAGACAGGAGAATGGGGCTCTCAAACCATAATGGGTTGCCTAAATAGACCGCATTATTTACGCCTGTGTGATGCCTCAACTATGCTGTCTAGCTAGGCTGCTCACTAGGATTTGGGACCTGGGTGTTGTTTTGATCTGCAGTGCACAGCCACATCAGTTTGTGTTGTCTAGTAAACATCTGCAGGTCAGTAGCTGCAGTGCATTCAGCTCGGTTAGGCTGTGTCAGTAAACAGTCATTGGCTTAAAGCATCTCTTGCATGCTGCCTATCAAGTCTGTGTTTTAAGGTTTCAGACTTTGATGCATCTAAGCTGGTGGGTGTTAATGCAAAAAGTCTTTGACGAGCCTGATCTTGATGAATCTTGCCGTGCCAGTGTGTTTGACGTCTCTCTTGAGAAATGTACTAAATAAAGACTAGAGCAGGGAAAAGTTGAATTGCAATTACTGAATTTAGACCATAATATCATTTATGTGCAAAAATCACTTGCATGGAAGATCCCGAGAGGTTTTATTTGAGTTCTGCACAGGGAAAGTGATGCTTCATAGTGGATATGGAGATACATTATGTGATATGTTTAGTTGTTATGTGCTAAACAATGTGATTTTAATTCAAAAGAGATTTGAAAGAATAATGCATATTTCCTGTCCTGGATGCAGAATAGCCTACCTAATGTATTAGCAGTAACTGATTATTAATCTCTTTGTGTTTTTAGGATTTTAATTTAAGGTTTTTGCTTTCCACAGAACCCTCCGATAACCTGCGCGAGATCCTTCAGAACATCGCCAAATCTCACGGGGTTTCCAACATGAGGAAGCTTGGCCACCTGAACAACTTTGTTAAGGTACTACAACTTCCATTTATGCTGGTTGTTGTTCAGAGGCTGGTCTACGCCACTCTTGTGTATGATTTTAGTGATGAGAGACGATCATGACTAGGTCTGCATGGAATCAGAAGAATTCTTCGCATATTTTGCACTGATTTTGAGTATGAAAAAATATGCTGAATTGTAAATGTGAAAACCTGCAAAAACCTTCAGAATATAGACAAAATAGTAAAGTTGGGTGTATGTAAGTGCAGCTTAATTGGAGATTTCTCGTTTTGAGAAAACAGTCTTTAAAGATTTTTGTTATTTTGGCTTGTAACTTGTATCTATAAACTGGAAACTAGATATCTAGAAACTAGAATAGCATTGAGACTTGGCAGTTGAATATATAGTACATCCAGCTTTCCCCACATACTCACAGTATACTTAAATAAAGCATATACTATATAGCAAATCTCAGCTGCATGATTGCTGACATTGTTGCCAAATTTAAAGGAGTCATATGATGTTGCTAAAAAGAACATTATTTTGTGTATTTGGTGTAATGAAATGTGTTTATGCGGTTTAAGGTTCAAAAACACATTATTTTCCACATACTGTACATTTATTGTTTCTCCTCTATGCCCCGCCTTTCTGAAACGCGTCGATTTTTACAAAGCTCATCGGTCTGAAAAGCGAGGTGTGCTCTGATTGGCCAGCTATCTAGTGTGTTGTGATTGGCCGAATACCTCAAGCGTGTGACGGAAATGTTACGCCCCTCACATACTGTGATGCCGTGTCCCGGCCGGAGCGACGAGACAAAAACAATAAAACCCATTATAAACGAGGCATTTGTTGCATCCAGTGGGGACATAATTATGGATTATACTGAGTTATACTGTCTTTTTACGTATTGCGTTGCATCGCGCCGCGTAAACATAAAACCATGTCTGTATTTGTGATCGGAGAAACGACAAACAACAAGCGCTACTCTACACTGCTCAAAACTTGCGTTTGAATCATCAGAGGAAAATCCTTTAAATATAAAAAACGTACTTACAGTCTGTGAGTCAGAACAGCCGGCATTGTAGTCTACTCTACCAGGATCAGGAAACAGTCCTCCGTAAAATGCGCTGCACACATCTGAATATTTGGGTTGAACTGTTCTGGAACAGTGTTGTAAATACAACTTAACCACTGATTTCTAGTCGTGTCCTCTTTTGGAAGACCAAACAAAGTATCTTCGCTTTTGCAGCGAAACACACAGCGTTTCCATGACATGGCGGCGGCGGTGGCAGCAACAATAAAGTTACGCCTTCTTACTTTGCGTGAATATTTGGGCGGTGTTATGCAAATCTTCCCACATCGTGACGTAGACATGTGGGGGCGTGTTTAAAAGAGGCGTTTTAGGAGGGTGTGGACTAGGGCTGTACGATTAATCGCAAGCGATATTTAACGCGCATCTTATCAGTAAAGCCGGTTCTTTAATCAGCGGTAAATCTCCATCACCTGCGTGCTTTCACATTGAGCAGCATTAACTACACAGAGCCGTTGTTCACTGACGAGCTGCGCCAAACCACGTTCATATTCGCGCAATTTTTAGCGCAGCTCGTCAGTGAACAACGGCTCTGTGCATTAAATATCGCATGCGATTAATCGTGCAGCCCTAGTGTGGACGAGTCTCAACTTTTATAAAGAATATCTCTTTGGGTTTGAGACTTTAGTCTTTGCAACTTTAGGGATCTTATCTATTCACGAACAGCTTGTAACACTCCAAAGAGAAAGGAAAACTTGAAATTGCATCATATGACCCCTTTAATATAACATCACCCAGCTCTAATCTGCTAAATGCTACTTTAAGACTTGAAGATGTTAAGATATTATAAACATTAACATCATCATTTTCTGTAAAACTGCGTTGAAACAATGTGTTTGGTGAAAAGCTCTATATAAATAAATTTGATTTGACTTGCCAAAGAGGGATAATTATTTTTAAATAATGCAATATTTTTAAGGCCTGGTCCTGTAAGCAGATCTGTGAAATAGTAAACAGCACAGCAGCAGGCAGTGTGTGTGTGTGTGTATGTGTATGTGTTGTCGGGTTGTTTATCTTAGTGGGCGCCTCCTCTCACTTTCAGTTTCTTTCTGAGTGAGTTTGTTTTGTGTGTAAGAGTTTCATCTCAGTGGGACTGAGGTTAAACTTAAGACTGTTAGTGCAGAAGTATGTGTGCAGGTTTTGTGTGTGTGTGTGTAAGTGGGATTTTCTCAGCTTTGGAGAGTATTAACTCAAGTGGTGTGTGCGCATGAATGCTGTGTGTGGCCTTTTAAGGATGCTGAGATGGAGGAGATCTAATCCTCACTGAGGGTCACATGACCCCCTCTGACTGCCTGAGCTCTGACATCATCATAAACACATACATATGCATGCTCAGCCTGCCAAGGTCACTACGCACCACAGTAACACACACACACACACACACAAACATGTTTAGGAGACTAATTTTACACTGTAAGGTCAGTTTAGTGCAATAGTTGATGTGTTTGTCTCACTTTTTTATTTATGGGTTCAGTTCGTGCAGCTCATCGTTACCAGAAGATGTTTTGCAACTTTGTTCACTTTCGAAACAGCTTTGAGAGAATTTAAAGAATTCATTTGTTAACTTAATAATATATATTTATGAATGCATGTTTGCTGTCCTAGATGCTGATTGGCAAATACAACATTCCAGGAACAATTCAACCTTTGTTTACATGTTGGATGCTGAGATGGAGGAGATCTAATCCTCACTGAGGGTCACATGACCCCTTCTGACTGCCTGAGCTCTGACATCATCATAAACACATACATATGCATGCTCAGCCTGCCAAGGTCACTACGCACCACAGTAACACACACACACACACACAAACATGTTTAGGAGACTAATTTTACACTGTAAGGTCAGTTTAGTGCAATAGTTGATGTGTTTGTCTCACTTTTTTATTTATGGGTTCAGTTCGTGCAGCTCATCGTTACCAGAAGATGTTTTGCAACTTTGTTCACTTTCGAAACAGCTTTGAGAGAATTTAAAGAATTCATTTGTTAACTTAATAATATATATTTATGAATGCATGTTTGCTGTCCTAGATGCTGATTGGCAAATACAACATTCCAGGAACAATTCAACCTTTGTTTACATGTTAGAAACTAGATGTTCTAGTTGGATGACGACACTTAATGATAATGAAAAAAGTGTTTCTAGTATTTCTTTTCTGCTATTATAGTATTTCTGTTTTAATTGTTTTAAAAAACTCAAAGGTTTGGTGTCGGTAAGATTTTTTTTTAATGTGTCTGAAAGAAGTCTCTTTTCTCACAATTGCTGCATTTCTTTGAGAAAAAACAGTAATGTTGTGAAAAAGTTTTGCAATTTAAAATAATGTAATTGATCCCTGTGACGCAAAGCATTACTCCAGTCTTCAGTGTCACATGATCCTTCAGAAATCATTCTAATGTTCTGATTTGATGCTCAAAAAACATTTCTTATCATTATTGATTTTGAAACAATTGTGCTGCTACTTAATATTTTTGTGGAAAGTTCACAATTGCTGCATTTCTTTGAGAAAAAACAGTAATGTTGTGAAAAAGTTTTGCAATTTAAAATAATGTAATTGATCCCTGTGACGCAAAGCATTACTCCAGTCTTCAGTGTCACATGATCCTTCAGAAATCATTCTAATGTTCTGATTTGATGCTCAAAAAACATTTCTTATCATTATTGATTTTGAAACAATTGTGCTGCTACTTAATATTTTTGTGGAAAGTTAAACTGTGATATATTTTTTTTATGGATTTTTTGATGAATAGAAAGTTCAAAATAACATCCTTTATTTGAAATAGAAATCTTTTTGATTAATTGAATTCATCCTTGGAATGTGTCTGAAAGAAGTCTCTTTTCTCACAATTGCTGCATTTCTTTGAGAAAAAACAGTAATGTTGTGAAAAAGTTTTGCAATTTAAAATAATGTAATTGATCCCTGTGACGCAAAGCATTACTCCAGTCTTCAGTGTCACATGATCCTTCAGAAATCATTCTAATGTTCTGATTTGATGCTCAAAAAACATTTCTTATCATTATTGATTTTGAAACAATTGTGCTGCTACTTAATATTTTTGTGGAAAGTTAAACTGTGATATATTTTTTTATGGATTTTTTGATGAATAGAAAGTTCAAAATAACATCCTTTATTTGAAATAGAAATCTTTTTGATTAATTGAATTCATCCTTGCTGAATAGAAGTATCAATTTCTTAAAAGAAAATCTTTCTAGCCCTAAACTTTTGAACGGTAGTATATCCTGTGAGCATGATTATATATTCGTGCATTAACCATAAACAGTCTAATGAACTTCATGATGACTTGGTGCAAGAATATTTGTGATGAGTATCTCTCTCTTGCTCTCTCAGCTCCTGAACAGTGTAAGTCACTGTGAAGAGAAATTAGGATTTACATATGAGGAAATCATCATTTGGTAAGTAGAACTTTCTCTTACTGTGTTCCAAAACCTAGTGAGCTAGTTGCGGACTACATACGGTAGGCAGCTGCCTTCTGAGATGTCATCACAAACATCATGGAGTCTCACAGATGACTGATTTGTGTGTATCATTCTCTCTCTATTGTTTTAGTCTGCGTGTGGCGTTGCTGAATGAGGTGAAGGAGGTTCGGGCTGCGGGTTTGAGAGCACTAAGGTATCTGATCCATGACAGCAGCGTCCTCCAGACACTTCTTCAACTGCAGGTGGATTACCTGATCTCCAGGTGAGTTCACACACCTGTTTTGTGTCCGCAGTGTCTTCCGCTTCCATTAGGTTTAAAAGACACTTAATATTCAGGAATAATATAGATTTGACCACCCTTACTGACGCTATCATATGAGAGCAAAACTGCAAATGAATTGAGCTGAATGAAGACACCGTTGTCTTCTGTAGAGCTGCTTTATAGCCAAATCAAATTAGTTTCATAATTGAGAAATTGTGACATCCACAGTCTTGAGCTGAATGAACTGACTTGAGCTGAATGAAGACGCTACTGGCTTCAGTAGAGCTGTTTATAGAAGAATTAAACTGGTTTCATTGCACTGAATAATGACACCATTGTCGAAAAAGAGTGTATGGGAGATGGAAAGACATTTACTGATAAATTCCTCCATGCGCATCAAAATAGTCATGTGACTGCGTGATGGGACTGCATAACTTGACTAACTGTGTTCCCGAACAGCAGGCATCCACTTCCGAAAGCAGTGATTGCGTTTATTTGTGTTTCGTCTGCTCGGTCTGAGGTGCAAGTCATTTATCATCTATGAACATTATTATATTTAGTGACTTCTCCTACTTTTCTTAGTAATATTTAGTGCCAGTTTATCAGGAAGTGGCGTTTTTGTTCTCTTTAGACTCATAGGATGGAAACAGTGCTTTAATTGCAAATGTTTTATGCAATATTCCAATCTGTGCATTAGTTAAACTCACAACTTTATATATGTGTGTGTGCTGTGTATATTATGTATATATAAATACAAACACATGCATGTATATATTTAAGAAAAATATGTTATGTTTATATATTAAATATTTATATATTATATAAATGTATATACATGTAAATATTTTCAAAATATATACTGAATGTGTGTGCATTTATATATACATAATAAATAAACTCGGTACACATAAATATATTATGTAAACAAAAACTTTTATTTTGGATGCGATTAATCGCGATTAGTCGTTTGACAGCACTAATATATACACACACATACATGCTTTTGTGCATGTTTCTGTGCCATTACCTCATTTACCTGTAATGAATTGTAATCATGTGCATTTCGGACAGTAACTTTTTTTTATGAATCTTTGTGCTCCATAGGGAAGACAGAGAAGCTCGTTTTTTAGCCAGTAAAATGGCCATCATTGCAGCCTTCCGCTCGTGGTCAGGTATAAAATCTACTGCATCTTCATCTAAAGAGTAGAAAAGGGAAACGCTCTCCACTTCTGCTCTTCATCCCTCTATTGTGCTGTTCTCCTATAGGTATTATCAACCTGTGTAAATCAGGGAACTCAGGGGTCCAGTCTTTGATAGGCCTGCTCTGTATACCAAACATGGAAGTCAGGGTGAGTTTTAAATACTTTTATTTTATTTTATTTGATTGAGACTAACTTGTGACATGTTTGTCGCTAAAACATTATATATTTGAATATTAAGCAGTTTTAAACATTGGTAATAATAAGAAATGTTTATTGAGCATCAAATCAACGTATTAGAATGATTATGTGACACTGAAGACTGAAGTAATGATGCTGAAAACTCCGCTTTGCTTTACAGAAATAAATTACATTTTAAAATATATTCTAATAGAAAAAAGTTATTTTAAATGGTAATAATATTTCACAATATTACTGTTTTTACTGTATTTTTGCTCAAATAAATGCAGCATTGGTGAGCATAAGAGACTTGTTATACAACTAAATGAACAAAAAATATTTTTTAATCATATTTGGGCATAAACCACAGTATTTTGTAATATTTCTTATTTGACAGCTTAGTGTGTTTTTATAAAACCGTGCACAAATGTAGCTTTACTTTCATTAAAGCTTTTTAGAAAACTCTACAGTCATCAGATTTACATTTTTTTTTTACTGTAATTTATGTAATTTATTTTCCTTATGCCTGCAGTGTCGTTAACTAAAACTAAACTGAAAAAATATTAAAAATTGCTTTTAGTACTTAACTAAGTTGAAAAATAGAAATCTTAATGTATATTTTAAATAAAAAATTTACAGAAGTTACAAAAGCTAAAGAACTAAATTGGCTAAAACTGAAATAAAATAAAGCTAAATTGAAAAAGACAAAAGCACATAACAGAATTACTAAAACTAAAATAAAAAACTAAACTAAAAATAGAAAAGCTAATTACAAATTAGTAAAGAATGCTATCCTAAAAATGTTTTTAATAAAATAATAAAATAACAGTTTATGGGGGGAAAAAAACTACATCATAAATAAGAAGATAAATAAATATAAATTGTAAATAAATCTAGACACATTGAGATATTGAGAATTTGGGGGTCAGAATGTGCTTATTTGTTATGATTTGTGCTTATTGCAACAATGCAAAAATCTTTAATGATCCTAAAACCTTTTTTAGATAAACGTTTAATCAAAATTAAAATGTAAAACAAAAGTTGCCAGGTCATGCACCATAGTCACTGATCTGTTATTTAGTAAACCAAATTCTAGACATGCATTTGGACTGCTGTTTAATTTTCCCTTTAACCTTTATTTTTGGACCTAAAATGTCACTTTTGTTCACATAATGATTCTTCTCTCTTCCAGGCCAATACGATTCTTCCTCACTCTCACAGTCATCATCTGCACTGTCTGCCCACGCTAATCAACATGGCTGCTTCCTTTGACATCTCTCAGGAGAAACGGCTGTGAGTGCAACAATGTGAACACACACACAGACAATAGTCCGAAAGCATGTGTCAAACAATGTTTTCCACTATCAGGCAATTCATTTTTGCTTTTAAATCTTGTGTTTTCCAGGCGTGCCAGTGCAGCCGTGAACCACCTCAAGCGTTTCCACGAAAAGAAACGTTGTGGCCCCAAACCTTACAGTCTTTACCTGGATCACATCCTGCGCAGGACGTCCAACTCCACTCACAAGAGAGAGCAGCACCAGCGTCTACAGAAGGACATCTATATTATGAAGGTACACGCACTATATCATAGTGTGCCTGAGGTGAACCTCAAAACACCTGTCAAGTACATGTCCAGAACATTTCACCCCAAAATCAGAGAAAAGAAATAAGAAATTAGATTTTGCTTTAAGAAAATGTAGCCTAATTTAGGACCATTAAGAGTTTTTGAGTTGTCACATTTCCTCCACTCAACTCTGATTACTGTACTGTAAAAAAATAAGATATTTAAACTGTAAAGTACTTACACACCATTATTGCATTTGTTGTACTACCTTGGATTTATACTGATTTTGGGATGTGATATGTTTCTGTCAAATTCACCTGTTGTTTATATAGATTCATTTAATAATATGTGACGCGGCAGACGTTTCTGAGTTGTTTGTGTGGTGTAGGACACTGAAGAGGCGCTGATGATGAACTTGAGGGACAGTCAGATCCTCAGTCACAAACAGAACCTGGACTGGAACTGGATTCTGATCATCACTATACTGAAGGTAAACGAGGAGCAGGCCCAACTCACTCTTCCTGCCATGTTTGGATAGAATACTAGCATAATGCTTACTACATACTTTACAATATTCTGTCTACTTTTGAAAAATAGTATGTGAAACAGCAATAATAAATCATAATTTCTTAGAGAAGATTGACTTGAAGTTACTATATTGCATGTTTAATTCAGGAAATTGCATTCAATTAGCACTTTGGGTTTGAGAAAAGCACAATATAATAAAATGCATTATTATTATTCCTGTAATAAAACACATTTAGCATTTTAACTCCTCTTTTTAGCAATCAAATCAAATAGTGAGTCAAGAATGTGATCTGTGTATTCCATGCATACAGAAAATTCACATACTGTGCAAAGAGACATACTGCATACAGTATTTCATAATTGCACATAGTATGGTATAGTGCTGTTACAAACAGAGCAATAGAGTGACCCCTGACACTTTTAATAGTCTGAATGGCAGTGCATTATATAAAATATCAAACCAAGTGGCATTTATTTAAAGAAAGAAAGGTAACATGAGCACAATTTTAAGCAAAAACATTTAAACAAAGTAGTGAAGTCGGTAAGATTTTTTTCGTTTTATAAAGTAATTCATACTTTTATTCAGCAAAGACACATTTAACTGATCAAAAGTGATAGTAATTTATAAGGTTACTGTTTCAAATAAATGCTGTTTGTTTGAACTTGCTGTTTATCAGAGTATCCTGAAAGAAAATGTATCAGGATTTCCACAAAAATATTAAGCAGCCCAACTGTTCACAGCATTGAAAATAAGAAATGTTTCTTGAGCAGCAAATCAGCATTTTAGAATGATTTCTGAAGGATCATGTGACACTGAAGACAGCTGAAAAATAAATGCAGCCTTGGTGAGCATAAGAGACTTCTTAAAGGAGCATAAAAAAACTTTGTGTTGTTTTTTTTCCTTTCTAGTGGCCAAATGTGAACCTCAGAAACAACAAGGACGAGCAGATGCACAAGTGAGACCAGTGTGTGGTGTCCTATCATGTGCTACATTTTCTTGAAGCACTAACCACAAACTATATCTCTACTGTATGTTTGTTTGTATGTAGGTTTGTAAGGAGGTTGCTGTATTTCTATAAGCCCAGCAGTAAGCTGTACTCGGCTTTGGAGCTGGATCACGCCAAAGCCAGACAGCTGACGGTAGCGGGCTGCCAGTTTAACCAGTTCCTCTTGGATTCGGAGGACGTGAGAAATTAAGACCTTCGTTAAAATACTCCATAAGAGACACAGCAGCAGTTAACTTGGTTTATGTTCTTCCATTTTTGTAGGACGGTCAGGCTTATTTAGAGGAGCTTGTGAAGGATACCGTCCAGTGGCTCACATCCTCTTCTGGGCTTAAATCTGAACGCAGTCTCCATAGCAACGGCCTCCTCAGCACCCTCAGTCAGCACTACTTCCTGTTTCTGGGTACTCTGTCTGCAAAGCCAGCTGGAGTCAAAATGCTGGAGAAATGTGGCGTTTTCCAGTGGTGAGAGCACACTATTTATATAAACTTTATTATTTTGGCTATATGAGAAAGTACTGCTAACAACACATTCGTAATAAATCTACCACAATACCATGTTTAGGGCCCTATGAAATCCGTTTAATTTTTTTCCAAATTCCGTTTTTTCCCATTTAAATTGTTTCTAGACTGTATTAATGTTTAAATTAAAAACGTGAATCAAAAAGCATGTCTAATTAATTGAAATCATGAAATGTACACAAATTAACAGCAATTTATTAAAAGTAAATTACATTTTTATGGCCTTATGAAATACATTTTATTACTTTTTTCAAATTCAGTTTTATTTTTACCCAATTCTGTGCATCTTTTTTTCCATGAATTTTCCATTTTAATGGTTTCATTACATTTTAATAATCAATATCATGTCTTTGTGAAGATAAATCAGATTTTATAATATTATAATTTATTAAATATATATATATATACCAGAAATACTGTGTTATGTATTTACAGTTTTCTGGTAAATAAATTCTGGTAAATAATTTTTTCTGGTAAATATTCCTTAAAAATATTGTTTTAATAATATTTTTATTATTTGTAGTTGTACTATCATTACATTAAGTAATACATTTCTGTCAAGTTAAACCAAACTTTTATTTTGATATTTCTGTTTGTATATATGTCGATAGTTTTTCTCAAAAGAAATAGTCAAATGCTCATGAAGTGACTCTCAGAGTAGTTCTAGAGATTATGTTCATATCATAGGGCCCTGCATGGAAAAAAAACATACCTTACAAAAATTTAGTGTTCCAGCAAAACTCGAATACTGGTGAAAATTTGCCACAAATAGACCCTTTTCACAGACTGTGATGACGATTTCCACAGCTTTTAACATTGTAAATTGAGAAAAGGTATTTATATTTTCATTTTTAACTTTGAGTTATAATACCTTGGCATTAAATTACAGAAAAGTAGTCAACTCTGCTGTACGAGTGTTTGTAATACAACGGTTGAGAGAGTAATGGCAAATTTGACATCTTTCTGTCTTCTGATCAACATAATCAATCTCTTTAATATTTTTTTCCTCTTTTTTTGGAAAGCTATAAGAAGGATGTCATGGAAAAAATGTACTTATTTATTTATTAATGTATTTATTTATATATTTATTACCCCTATAGAATTTTACCCAACTGTGATGACTTTGGAAATGTGAAAAGGGTTGATAAACTGCATAAAAAAATGCATTTGTCCAGGCATGTTAATACTGTGGTACCACAGTAGCAGAGTGATTAACTGTGTTTGGTTCTGATTTGTTTTGTGCAGTCTGTTGAGCTTGTGCTCGATGAAAAACCAGGATCACCTGCTGAAACTAACGGTCTCCACTCTGGACTACAGCAGAGACGGACTCGCTCGAGTCATTCTGTCCAAGATCCTCACAGCGGCCACTGATGTAAGATCATGTTAAGATCATGTAGGGTTGTTATAATTTGCTAAATCTAAAACCATAAACATTTTTGTTACTTAATAAAAATATATAAAAAATGAGAACGCTTAACAAAATGACTAAAACTTTAACTAAAATCAAATGAAAATGGGTATATATACATAAAATATACATACATACATACACACATATATATATATATATGTATATACATTTTGATTCTCCCTGTTTGTCCTGTTACAAAACAATTTAATTCCAAATTTTGCTTTGTTTATAGATATTTTCATATTTGTAAAAATATAAATTGACTTATATTTTCATATTTCCAACATACCTTTTAAATGCAGCTAAATAATACACATTTAATATGCAAAGATGTTTTGTTAATGCTACAGTAATTTGCATTCCGTTAATGTTCAGTAATTAAACAATCACTTAAATGATTATTTGTGATTTGGATGCATTTTAGAGTGATTCTCCCTATATTTCCTTTCCATATTCAATGCGACTTACCTTTAAATACGCATGTTATATGTTAAGATGTTTTTTGATGCTGCAGTAATCTGCATTTCATTAATGTTTATTATTAAAACAAACAAATGTGTTATATGGTAGATAACAGTGATATCCTTCCAATAAGATTCTTGTAAAACATTTTCAAGTTGTTCTGACTGTATATTGGAATATAGTTTGATCTCAAATGAACTTCTAGCGATTCTTTCTGTTTGTCTGGTTTCAGAACTGCCGTCTGTACGCCACCAAACACCTGCGCGTGCTGCTGCGTGCTAACGTTGAGTTCTTCAGTAACTGGGGGATGGAGTTGCTTGTCACACAGCTGCATGACCACAACAAAACTGTCTCCATGGAGGCACTGGACATCCTGGACGAAGCCTGTGAAGAGAAGGTAATCAGCATCACCGCTACATGATGATGCAGTGCAGATCATTAGTTCATGTACTTTCAGATAGGAAGATATGTGAAAAAATGAGAATCTGTTAAGCATTAAATAATATAATACTTTGTTAATGGTATAAAATATCACCCACAATGCTGCTTGGTTTGTATCAGTTAAATGTGTTTCTTACAGGAACTCTAATGGTCTTTATTTCTGCTGTTTGATCATTATAGGCCAACCTGCACGCTCTGATCCACATGAAACCTGCTCTGTCTCACCTGGGAGAGAAAGGCCTTCTGCTGCTGTTGAGGTAAAACCGGTCTTGGTTTTCAGTTTAAGTATGTTTACTACATAAATGTATCGCTTAAAAATAAACCTTTTAGCTAGTTTCACAAACTGGAGTTTGTGAGAGAACTGCAGAGAGTTTGTGAGTGGATAAAAAGCTAACAATTAAATAAATCATAAAAATGTTATATGAAAATACATTTAAAAACGAAACGATCAAAATCAAACACTTTGTAAAAAATGATGACATTTTTACCTCCATTTCATGTGACTATTAACCAACATCAGAGAAGCAAATAAATATTTGAGGGCAAAGAGGTTCAGCTGAAAAAAAAAAAGTTTGGGAATCTCTGAGCTAGTTTTTATATTTCTGGCCAACACTAAAACTCACTTTGCTTTTGATCAAATTAGAGTCTAAAATAAGCTTTTCTATGTTGAATATCCAGAAAAAAATACTTTTGTTATATGCATTCCTTATATATTCTGTTATTATCGTTTAGAATTGTCAATAGAAATAGAAAAAAAAATCTCAAATTTCTTTGGCATGTGATAAAAATATACATGATCTTATATTTTTATATTTACTTTCAATTTTTAATGCAACAAACATTAATGTGTATATAATAAGCAAAAAATTATGCTACATTAATCTGCTTTTCATTAATGTTTTGAATTAATTGTTCAAGGAAAGCAAGTCATTTTTGATAATAGTCCATGTGGATTTGATTTGATGAAGTTATTGAAACGTCATATATAAAGACAATGTCTAAATATGTTAGTGGTATAAAATGCAATATTTAAATAAGCTTATAAGTGGTTGTACTCCTCATCTGTAAGTCATCTGCTAAAAGAATAAATATAATGTGCTAAATGCCTCTCTGCTCTCCTCTGTAGGTTCCTGTCCATCCCAAAAGGCTTCTCTTACCTCAATGAAAGAGGCTATGTCAACAAACAGCTGGATAAATGGCAGAAGGTGAAAGCATCAATCCACTGACTCTCTCTCAGCCTGCGGTTTTACGCCTGTGTCTGTGTTTGTTCCTCTTGAATGCAGATGTATTGAGCCGTGTGTGTTTTTGCAGGAGTATAATCTGAAGTATGTGGACATGATTGAGGAGCAGATGAATGAAGCTCTCACAACATACCGCAAACCTGTCGACGGAGACAACTACGTTCGCCGCAGCAACCAAAGGTCTCAGCACTCCTGTAAAGGGCTTCTAAATGAAGCTAAAATAACACTGTTATGAATATGTATAAACATGATGTATACTTTTATTAATCAAAGCATTTATCGTGTAGGTTACAGAGGCCAAATGTGTTTCTCCCTGTGCATTTATATGGGCAGTTGGTCCATGATAAAACTGGCTGCCTGCTGCTGGAAGCTCAGGTACCCAATTACACTCGCACTGCTTGCTGTGGCTGTATAGCATTGTTTGTTTTTGTGCACTTATGTGTTATTTGTGTGTGTGTTTGTTAGGGTGTTATCCCGGATCTTAGCTACACAGTCCGTTCTCCAGTGTTGGATAAATGGGAGGGCATTAAACAGCTGAAGGCAGCGCTGTGGGCTCTGGTCAGTGATGGTTTTTTGCATCCTTGAATGTCTCTGGTGTCATTGTATGCAAGTTTACGGTCGTTTTAAATATTGCAGGGCAACATTGGCAGCTCAAACTGGGGTCTGAACCTCCTACAAGAGGAGAACGTGATTCCAGATATTATTGCTCTGGCTCAGCACTGTGAGGTTCTGTCCATACGTGGGTAAGACTGCCTAATATAGGAACGTATTAGGTTATTTTCAACATTTAATGCCCATGGACAGCATCTGTGGGAACATTACACATGCTAGCAAGAGGCCGTTACATAACGTAGGAAAAATCATTTTCCACAAAAATGTTAATCAGCACAACTGTTTTCAACATTGATAATATTAAGAACTGTTTATTGAGCAGCAAATCAGCATATTAGAATGATTTCTGAAGGATCACACACAAGACTGTAGTAATGATTAGTACAGAGTAATGATGCTGGAAATTCTGCTTTGCATCACAGAAAAAAGATATTCAATTGTAATAGTATTTCACAATATTACTGTGTTTTTACTGTATGTTTAATCAAATAAATGCAGCTTTGGTGAGGATAGGAGACCTTTCAGAAACATTTAACAAAAATCGCACCAACCCCAAACTCTTGAACAGTAGTTTTTAACCAAAAATTCCTTAAACATAGTCTCGTCTCAAATGGATGATTTGGAGATTGTAAGTCAAAGAGCAACAATTTGTTATTTTTTTGCCCTGTTCACAGCATTTCTTCATATTTTATGACCATCCAATTAAACCTTCCTCTTTTTTGTTTTGACACTCTCACTCTAACTGAAGTAATAGTAGTGCAGATAGCATTGAAATAACCTTGCATCATATATCCAGTAAGTAACAAGCAGTGCTGTCTGTGCAGTACGTGTGTGTATGTGCTGGGTGTGATCAGCCGCACGCGGCAGGGCAGTGACGTGCTGAAGGCTTTGGGATGGGACTCTGTCCGGCACAGCCGCAGGCAGCAGTGGCCCGTCGTCCCTGATGAAGTGGATGCTCCGCTACCCAGCGAACTGTCATCTGTGCCCAGCACGCTCAGCCTCAACTCTGAGTCCACCAGCTCACGCCACAACAGCGAGAGTGAAAGTCAGCCCAGTGAGTCAATGCACATGCTTAACATATCAACATGAAAATATTTCTTGATCTGTTTTTCTCCTGGTTTGCAAGTAAAATATCTAAATATCCTTGAACTAGATGGATTTACTGTTATAGGAGTTGCATAATTGTTTAGAGAGATTCTATCATCTTCTTTTTATTATTATATTGGTGATTTTGCACCACATCTCTAAATTCACTAAATATGCCAATGGAGTAAGAAAAACAAAACAAAAAATACTCTTTCAAGATGAATTCTCTGAAAACATGTTCAATATTTTTTTTAGCTTTTATTTCTTGTTTAAAGTAAATTGACCGTGGTTAAAGGATGTTTACATTTACTTTTATTCAAAGCAACTTACAAAAGCAATTTGTCCAAGAGGCAACAATATTTGTAATATATTATAATATTCATAATAAACTTGATTTGGAAGCAAACTAGAGCTGATTTTTTAGATTTTTTGCAGTGTGTTTACGTTTTTGTGCATAATTTAATTGATAATTGTTCTGCTGATTGCAATCAGTATTATTTTAGTATTATTTGAATTTGTTTTTTAATATTTTCTGTGTTCATTTTAATTTAATTTTAATTTTAATAGGTTTAGTAATTGTTATATGCTTTTTATTTTTATTTATTTATTTATTTATTTTAATACTTGTTTTAGTTTTACTAATTTTAGCACTTCACCTGAAACTTTTATTTTATTTAGTTCATTTAGCCAAAATTTTTCATCTAATATTTGTTTTATTTTATTTCACTTGAGACCATTTTTAGTAGTTGTAGTTAAAAACATGCACACACAAAAAAATGTATGCATAAGTAGTCATTGCAATCTGTTGTTTTGCATTTTACATCCATTGTAATATTTCACGTCTCACTTAGGTTTGTATTTCATGGACGATGACCGTGAGGGTTTGGACATGTACGAGGCCTCTTCTCTCGGTATACACACAAAAACCTTAAAGGACAGAAGCCCCTTCACCATCCTGACCCCTTCGCATCTCCGAAACCGCTTTCTGAACTCCCTGTCTCTCCCCAGTAAGAAGGGACGGAGCCCCAGTGACACTAAAGGCACGACAAACGCGGCAAAATCTCCCGAGGAGCTCCGGCTCATGCGGCGCAACCGGACCATAACAGAGCCCTCGAACTACTCTCCAGGCCACTCAGGGCAGAGCGAGGTTTTTTATAATGGCAATCGCATGCCTCACAGCCCAACGGTCAGCCTCGAGACTTCATTTGTGGGTATTAAAGCACTAGCAGAGCCGTATGGCACCGAGGGATGCTCTGATTTGGAAGGCAGAGGTCAACATAAGGCCGTGACCCCGGGTGACGGTCAGAGGGAGCGGAGCAGCAGGGAGCATTTGACCTGCGACGGTGCGTCTGTAATGCCCGGCGGCGGCACGTTGAAGAGCCGCAGTCATAGCTTCAACACAGACACGACCACCAGTGGCATCAGCTCCATGAGCTCCTCCCCCTCCCGAGAGCCCGCCGCCTCCATCGCCATGGATACGGACTGCGCCAGCCTCAACACGGTGGTGAGCACCAAAACTGTGAAAATGCAACACTCGCTCAGTCCTCAGTCCAACCACAATCACATCCTGTTGTCCAAGTCTAATTCCACCTCGCTAGTTCTTCCCGGGTCGGCGCACACGCTGCCGCGCAGGGCACACTCGCTGAAGTCGCCCTCCGTGGCCACCATCAAGAGCCTGGTGGACTGCAGCTACATCTACACGAGCCCGCGTGACGCGCTGGGATATGCCACGCTGAAACGCCTGCAGCAGCAGAGGATCCACCCGTCTCTCTCACACAGCGAAGCGCTGGCGTCTCCCGCTAAAGACGTGCTGTTTACAGATACCATCACCATGAAAACACGCAGCCTCGACTCCCGGCTCACGCCACGCAGGTACACAGCATTTACTTCTACTTTTTCAACTTTCATTTAACTACTAAACTACTTTTTTTTTTTAGAGTATTATTACTGTGTGTGTGTGTGTGTGTGTGTGTGTGTAAAACAGTACCTATAGATCATGGTAATAGTTTTTTTACTACCTTTTATTATAATTAAATTGTAACTGATATTTATAGTAAAAAATTAGTCTACTATATATTTGATATTTAATAACTGAATGATAGTTAATGATAATTAAATTGTAATGATAATTATGGTTAAAAATGACTGAACTGTATATTAATTTATTAACTACAATAATAAGAATCTAAAATGTAGCATTAGGATTAATAAATAAATAAAATATGTAATTATGTATATTTTTGTGTGTGTGTGTATATATATATATATTTATGTATATATTTTAGTGCTGTCAAACGATTAATCGCATAAGTGTCACATGATCCTTCAAAAATGCTGATTTGCTGCACAATAAACATTTCTTATTATTATCAATGTATACGTTTTTTTGTGGAAACAGTGAATCATTTTTTTACAGGATTCTTTGATGAATAAAAAGTTCAAGAGAACAGCATTTATTTGAAATATACGTAAATCTTTTTTAACATTATATAGCTCTTTACTGTCACCTTAGATCAATTTAATGTGTCCTTGCTGAAGAAAAGTATTATTTCTTATAAAAAATCTTACAGACCCCAAAATGATTGTGTATGAAATGATAAGTAAATGAATAATTGTATTAAACAAATCTGCATGTTTCTTAGAACCTTGTCGTGGTCCTCCACTGAAGCCGCAGATGAGTATAACAGAGCTGTTAAACAGCAGCCGGTCGGAGCAGCAGCACCTGCTGGGAGCCGATGAGAGTACAGGCCTACAGGAGCACACGGAGCAGAACTGCCTCTACTGCTGCGCCATCACCGTCCTCGGCTCACACACACACAGCCACCTGAACAACACACACACACGCACAGGTGAGCAAACACACGCTACCAGAGAATTTCATTAAACATCTTTCTCATTTCAATTTTTGTGAACCTGCTGTTTTCTGAAAGGAATCGCTGATTATGAGGAAGCATGGGAGACTGTGAGTGTTAGTAAATAGAGTAACTTGATCTGGTTGTAACTGGAAAGGTTGTAGGTTCAAAGCCCAGATTTGGGTAAAAATTAGGAATTTAGTTCCTTTTGTTCCTCATACCTGACTCCTCTCTCCGGCAGATCTGTCTGATGGTTTCTCTCAGTGGCACAGCCAGTCTTCCCATAATCACCTGGAGGTGGTCGCCCAGTCCAAGTTCTCGGGGATCTCTGGCTGCAGCGACGCGGCCGTCAGTCAGGGTTCGGCCAGCAGCACTCCCAGCACAGAGCTCATACTGGGTGAGAATAAGACCTTCTGTTTTACCTCCTGAGATTCCAAACCACAGACTGAGACGACTTTTCACAACCATTTTTCTGGAGTTGTTTAGTGCATTGAAAATTTCCGGAAGATTATGTTTTACTGGGACATCATTGAACATCCAGGTGCACAACGGTACAACATGAAACATTTTCAATCGTGTCAAATTAAATCTTTTTATTCTGACATCGACAAATCGTGTCTAGATAGAGAGTGAACTTTTCAGTTTTTTTTAATATTTTTTTTTACATTCTGTTTGTATTAAACTGGGACAATACAAAACAATTCTAACATTCCCATCCTAACATGTATAAAAATAAAATAAAATAAATTTAATTTAACATAAGAAAATAATAATTATCAGAATAGTATATATTTTTTAAAGATATAAAAATACTTAAATATTTAAATAAATATATTTTTCTAATCTAGGTAATTAATAAAGGCTACATCTTTTCCCCAATTCTATTTTTATTAATTTTTGTTGTTCTGTCCAAAGGAGCAACACAACTTTTCAACCACAGCATATGTAATAATTAAATTTAAAATATAATAATAATAGCAACAAAATAAGTAATATTATTAATGATGATGATGATAATAATAGACAAAATAAATTACAGTATCTATAATAGTTTTTTTTTTAAACAAAATCTTTTTATTAGTGTCAAATTAAATATGATTTCTATTGACATGTTTTTTTCTCTAGATAACCGATAGATGTTTCGTTTTTTCCGTTCCTTTTTATTCCGTTTTCTTATACTATCCAAACAAAATACAAAACATTTGCAACTTTTCCACCCCAACGTATATAATTAAATTGAAATAAATATAACAAATAAGTAATAGTAATAATGCTAATAATCAACATAAGAAAACTGACTTAAATTTATCAGAACCGTATCTGTTATTGTTTTTTAAATAAGTTAATCAATAAAAATGTAAAACTATTATGTCCGGGACCTCACAGTCATCATTATTTGACATTACACTCATCTGCTTATTAACAAATTGTATAAAAGGGATCCATATCTTATTAAATACATCTACTTTTTAGTAGATACTGTATTTGTTTAGCATATAAAGTGAAGTAATAACCAAAATCAGCTACTTTGTGGAGGGATTAACAATAAACAAACTAAATAGTGTCCAAATGTAAAAGTTTAGGAGGTAGGAGAAAATAGCATTTGTTTAGTATCAAAGCAATGGAGGTCAATGAAAAGTCCATGATAGAAAAGCAATGCTGTATGTGTACATATAGGTGGAAAGGCGATATCTGAGGACGGCCCGGCCTGCAAAGTTCTGCTGAGGAAAGAGGTTCTGCGACTCGTCATCAACCTCAGCTCTTCAGTCGGCACCAAAGGACACGAAACCGGACTGCTCACGTAAGAAGAGCCGAGAAATACTGTGCGAGTGTGTGTTC